GGTACAGTGAGAGGGAGGGACATGTGCTGAACTTAGCCATTGAAAGGCAGATCTCTTAGATTGGATTGTGTGATTCACAGAAATATATATTTCTCAAAACGCAAGCCTCTGCTTGCATGGAGTTGGACTCTGTACCTCTGTATCTATGTGGTAAAAACACATAATTTTGGTGAGACTTAATGGGGCCATACTTGCGAACATAAGCAAGCATTTAAAGTTAATTACGTTCTCACACACAAAATGAGTATCAGCCAATGAAAAGCATTGATTTACTTTTATTAATTGTTCAGCAGTCTTATGGCTTGGAGGTAGAAGCTGTTTTTGAAAAAAAATGTGGGCTTCCTCTGACATCGCCTAGTACATAGGTCCTGGATGGCAGGAAGCTTGGCCCCAGTGATGTACTGGGATGTATGCATTACCTTCTGTAGCGCATTACGGTCGGATACTGATCAGTTGCCATACCAGGTGGTGATGCAACCGGTCAGGATGCTCTCAATGGTGCAGCTGTATAACTTTTGAGGATCTGGGGACCCATGCCAAATCTTTTCAGTCTCCCGACTTTCTTGGTGTGTTTGGACAATGATAGTTAGTTGGTGATGTGGACACCAAGGAACTTGAAACTCTCGACCCGCTCCACTACAGCCCTGTCGATGTGAATTGAGGCCTGTTCGGCCCTCCTTTTCCTGTAGTCCACGATCATCTTCTTTGTCTTGCTCACGTTGAAGGAAAGGTTGTTGTCCTGGCACCACACTGTCAGGTCTCTGACCTCCTCCCTATAGGCTGTCTCATTGTTTTCGGGGATCAGGCCTATCACTGTTGTGTCGTCAGCAAACTTAATGATGGTGTTGGAGTCGTGGGTGAACAGGGAGTACAGGAGGGGACTAAGCACACACCCTTGAGGGGCCCCCGTGTTGATGATCAGCTTGGCAGATCTGTTGTTGCCTACCCTTACCACCTGGGGGATCAGGAAGTCCAGGATCCAGTTGCAGAGGGAGGTGTTTAGTCCCAGGGTCCTTAGCTTAGTGATGAGCTTTGTGGGCACTATGGTGTTGAACACTGAGCTGTAGTCAATGAACAGCATTCTCACGTAAGTGTTCCTTTTGTCTAGGTGGGAAAGGGCAGTGTGGAGTGCGATTGAGATTGTGTAATCTGTGGATCTGTTGGGGCGGTATGCGAATTGGAGTGGGTCTATGGTTTCCGGGATGATGGTGTTGATATGAGCCATGACCAGCCTTTCAAAGCACTTCATGGCTACCAACGTGAGTGCTATGGGGCGGAAGTCATTTAGGCAGGTTACCTTCGCTTTCTTGGGCACAGGGACTATGGTGGTCTGCTTGAAACATGAAGGTATTACAGACTCAGTCAGGGAGAGGTTGAAAATATCAGTGAAGACACTTGCCAGTTGGTCCGAGCATGCTCTGAGTACACATCCTGGTAATCCGTCTGGCCCTGTGGTCTTGTGAATGTTGACCTGTTTAAAGGTCTTGCTCACATTGGCTACGGAAAGCGTGATCACACAGTCGTCTGGAACAGCTGGTGCTCTCATGCATGCTTCAGTGTTGCTTGCCTCGAAGCGAGCATAAAAGGCATTTAGCCCGTCTGGTAGGCTTGCGTCTTTGGGCAGCTCGTGGCTGGGTTTCCCTTTCCAACAGCGTGCTCTGATTATCAAAGCAACTATCACGTGTATTTGACTGACTGCTTAGTCCAGGTAATTGTCACAGATTGTGGCTAGGGTTCGAATTTAACATGAGTTTTAAACAGACAAAATGAGGAAAAAAAAAATCAAGAAAATCACATTGTAGGATGTTTAATGAATTTATTTGCAAATTATGGTGGAAAATAAGTATTTGGTCAATAACAAAAGTTTCTCAATACTTTGTTATATACCCTTTGTTGGCAATGACACAGGTCAAACGTTTTCTATAAGTCTTCACAAGGTTTTCACACACTGTTGCTGGTATTTTGGCCCATTCCTCCATGCAGATCTCCTCTAGAGCAGTGATGTTTTGGGGCTGTCGCTGGGCAACACAGACTTTCAACTCCCTCCAAAGATTTTCTATGGGGTTGGCTAGGCCACTCTGGCTAGGCCACTCCAGGACCTTGAAATGCTTCTTACGAAGCCACTCCTTCGTTGCCCGGGCGGTGTGTTTGGGATCATTGTCATGCTGAAAGACCCAGCCACGTTTCATCTTCAATGCCCTTGCTGATGGAAGGAGGTTTTCACTCAAAATCTCACGATACATGGCCCCATTCATTCTTTCCTTTACACGGATCAGTCGTCCTGGTCCCTTTGCAGAAAAACAGCCCCAAAGCATGATGTTTCCACCCCCATGCTTCACAGTAGGTATGGTGTTCTTTGGATGCAACACAGCATTCTTTGTCCTCCAAACACGACGAGTTGAGTTTTTACCAAAAAGTTATATTTTGGTTTCATCTAACCATATAACATTCTCCCAATCCTCTTCTGGATCATCCAAATGCACTCTAGCAAACTTCATACGGGCCTGGACATGTACTGGCTTAAGCAGGGGGACACGTCTCGCACTGCAGGATTTGAGTCCCTGGCGGCGTAGTGTGTTACTGATGATAGGCTTTGTTACTTTGGTCCCAGCTCTCTGCAGGTCATCCACTAGGTCCCCCCGTGTGGTTCTGGGATTTTTGCTCACCGTTCTTGTGATCATTTTGACCCCACGGGGTGAGATCTTTCGTGGAGCCCCAGATCGAGGGAGATTATCAGTGGTCTTGTGTGTCTTCTATTTCCTAATAATTGCTACCACAGTTGATTTCTTCAAACCAAGCTGCTTACCTATTGCAGATTCAGTCTTCCCAGCCTGGTGCAGGTCTACAATTTTGTTTCTGGTGTCCTTTGACAGCTCTTTGGTCTTGGCCATAGTGGAGTTTGGAGTGTGACTGTTTGAGGTTGTGGACAGGTGTCTTTTATACTGATAACAAGTTCAAACAGGTGCCATTAATACAGGTAACGAGTGGAGGACAGAGGAGCCTCTTAAAGAAGAAGTTACAGGTCTGTGAGAGCCAGAAATCTTGCTTGTTTGTAGGTGACCAAATACTTATTTTCCACCATAATTTGCAAATAAATTCATTAAAAATCCTACAATGTGATTTTCTGGATTTTTTTTTCTCAATTTGTCTGTCATAGTTGACGTGTACCTATGATGAAAATTACAGGCCTCTCTCATCTTTTTAAGTGGGAGAACTTGCACAATTGGTGGCTGACTAAATACTTTTTTCCCACACTGTATATATATATATATATATATATATATATATATATATATATATATATATATATATATATATATACCCTGTAACTAACAGGGTTCTACCATGGTGACGGTCACAATACTTTACAGTAGCTGAATATTAGAAACAACACACTCGAATCTGTTAGTCTGATGTCCTGTACAGGGAAGAAACGCTTCCATGTCAACAGGTGTAACGCCTGTAGCCAAAGAAATGCCTTCTTATAGGGTGCTAGTGTGTGTCCCAAATGGCGCCCAATTCTCTTTATGTAGTTAATAATAGGGTGCAATTTGGAACGCAGAAATAGAAATTGTAGAAAGAGGAACTGCACTGTGAAGTGGAGAAAGAACTGGGTCAAGCCAGTACATATGCCCCCAGGCTGACAGACAAAGTCAGATTTTGTAAAGGTGTTAAAAAAAAATATTACTTGAGGAAAACAGACACATGCTAAAACAGTTCAGTGAGAGCATTGTTACACTCAAGGTTGAAGTAACTTTAGATGAAGTTAACGCAACACGAAATCCGTATTCAAATAAAATAAAATAGTATTTGTCACATACATGTGTTTAGCAGAAGTTATTGCGGGTGTAGTGAAATACTTGTATTAGACTTGATTTAACATTTTAAGGCAGCAGGGATTTTTTTAAAGGTGTTTTAGCAAAGTACTTAATGAACTCTTTACAATAAATAGGTGGCAAATCTCTTCCATGCCCACAGACCTGGTGGCATAGCAGGAAATTCAAGTCACTGGCAACCAAGAGATTGTGAGATCAAGTGCGAAGTGTGCTCACGTTGAAGAATCTTACAAGAATGTTACTTTTGACCAAAAGTGTTACGTTCACTCAACATGTCGTTAAGTCTAAATATGTCAGTTTCACTTACTATACTAGGTTTCCTGCAACAACAAGGTGATCAAATTAAGATCTGTATTGCTGGGAGAGCCATCATGTAGGTAATATGCACATCCCAAATCCCTAACCTTTTCTACCAGCTCTGGGCCAAAAACGTACACTACTTTGTATAGAATGAGTGTACAAAACATGAAGAACACCTGCTCTTTCCAAGACATAGACTGACCAGATGAATCTAGGTGAAAGCTATGATCCCTTATTGATGTCACCTGTTAAATCCACTTCAATCAGTGTAGATGAAGGGATGAGACAGGTTAAATAAGTATTTTTAAGCCTTGAGACAATTGAGACATGGATTGTGTATGTGTGCCATTCAGAGGGTGAATGGGCAAGAAAAAATATGTAAGTGCCTTTGAAAGGGGTATGGTAGCAGGTGCCAGGCACACTGGTTTGTGTCAAGAACTGCAATGCTGCTGGGTTTTTCACGCTCAACATATCAAGAATGGTCCACCACCCAAAGGACATCCAGCCAACTTGACACAACTGTGGGAAGCATTGGAGTCAACATGGGTCAGCATCCCTGTGGGTCACTTTCGACACCTTGTAGAGTCCATGCCCCGACGAAGGGAGGCTGGGGGCAGAACTCAATCTTTATTTCTTAATGTTTTGTACACTCAGTGTATTTTGTGTGTGGGCTTAGCAGCACATACCCTACTATGTGGGAGGTTTTCTTTGTATTTTGTAAGTGGAGTCAGGAAGTGGAGTGAGTCCCATCGACTCACTTCATCAACTGCCTTTACATTAAACTGTTCTCCCCCAGTGGTCTCAATGAATCATTAGCAGTATCATTGTTTGGACTGAACCTGTCCTTTTCCTCTTATCTTGTAGCTGCACACTGACCTGGATAAGGGCGAGAGCGAGGTGAAGTACACTCTCATGGGAGAAGGGGCCGGCTCCATTTTCACCATCGATGCAACGACCGGGGACATCCATGCCTTAAGAAGCCTTGACAGGGAGGTGAAGCCTTACTACACCCTACGCGCCCAGGCTGTCGATATCGACACAAACAGGCCCCTGGAGCCCGAATCAGAGTTTGTGATCAAAGTCCAGGACATCAACGACAATGAGCCAAAGTTTCTGGAAGGCCCATACACAGCCAGTGTCCCTGAGATGTCACCTGTAGGTAAGAAGAAATATCAGAAAATACTTTGTGTGGCCTATTCACTATATAGTGTACTTCTTTTGACCAGAGACCTACGGGCTCTGGTCAAAAGTAGTACACTATGTAGAGAATAAGGTGCCATTTGGAACGTAGGCAAATTATCACAGAATGCTTCATGTATCACCTTTAACTTGGCATAGGAAAATAGATGCATTTCTTAGAACACTGTATTGTACTGAGTTTTAGATCCAGACATAGTAAGAAAGGGAGTTTTATAACCACATGTAAACAGGAGGGAGAAAGAGAACCCAACAGATGTTGATGTTTCAGCGAGCAAGCCAGTTATGCACAACGTGCCTGAGTACATTGCAGATCGAGGCTTGTCTATATGATCTCTCCCCCAGGGAAGGGAGATCAAGGTAATTCACTCTGAGATTGGCTCCTCTTGATCTGAATGGCAATGAAGCCCTGGCGAAGAGAACAGAAAAACCAGATAGAAATGTTGAATGGAGCCGGGTACAGTCAATGTACAGGTAATTGCCAACATGAAGGAAAAACCAACATAAAGTGTCTTAATAGGGCATTGGGCCACCACAAGCCAAAAGAATAGCTTCAATGTGCCTTGGCATAGATTCTACAAGTGACTGGAACTCTATTGGAGGGATGTGACACTATTCTTCCATGAGAAATTCCATCAATTGGTGTTTTGTTGATGGTGGTGTAAAACACTGTCTCAGGTGCCACTCCAGAATCTCCCATAAGTGTTCAATTGGGTTGAGATCTGGTGACCAGTGGCAGTCAATGCCATTTAAGATGAGGGAGAACCATTTAATTTTTTAATGAGCATGGCCTTATTTCTATTACAGCGTATTGGATGACTGTCATTCATATTCCATTCAACCAGTTCAATGTAACAATGCCTATTCCCCCTCAGGAGACAGAAAATATTTGGCATGGGTCCTCAGATCCTCAAAAAGTTATACAGCTGCACCATCGAGAGCATCCTGACTGGTTGCATCGCCGCCTGGTATGGCAACTGCTCGGCCTCCGACCGCAAGTCACTACAGAGGGTAGTGCGTACGGCCCAGTACGTCACTGGGTCCAAGCTTCCTGCCATCCAGGACCTATATACCAGGCGGTGTCAGAAGAAGGCCCTAAAAATTGCCAAAGCCACCCTAGTCATAGACTGTTCTCTCTGCTACCGCACGGCAAGCAGTACTGGAGCGCCAAGTCTAGGTCCAAAAGGGTTCTTAACAGCTTCTACCCCCAAGACATAAGACTCCTGAACAGCTAACCAAATGGCTACCCAGACTATTTGCATTGATCCCCCCCCTATGCATAGTAACTTTACCTCTACCATGTACATATTACCTCAATTACCTCGACTAACCTGTGTCCCCGCACATTGACTCTGTACCGGTAACCCCGGTATATAGCCTCGTTACTGTTATTTTATTGTTGTTCTTTAATTATTTGTTATTTTTCATTTGTATTTATTTATTGTTTACTTCAGTTTATTTAGTAAATACTTTCTTAACACTTATTTTTTCTTAAAACTGCTTTGTTGGTTAAAGGCTCGTAAGTAAGCATTTCACTGTAAGGTCTACACCTGTTGTATTCGGCACAACATTTTATTTATTTGATTTCAGGCTAATAGATGACACTCTAATTTTCCCTATACCCATCATGAGGTTGCTACAACCTAGCCTATGAATGACAGTTTACAACGTAGGTGCACACAGGTCAGACATTGACACATTCAATACCGCCTTCCACACTCTTGGCTGCATCTAGCTGATATAGGGTGTAATCATTGGTCCAAGAGTTGCAAATGAGAGTTTCTATTGGACAAATTCAGGTATGTTCATCCCCGTTTGGTTCTGTTTGCTTCCATTTAAGAAAGGATTTTCAACAGAATCGGCGGAATGAATACACTCCTGATCACGCGTAAACACAGTTCACTTTCATAGCAGCCACATTGTATTCCTTCTCGCATCTATGCGCTCTCCTCCTCTCATCTTGTCCATTCGCTTGTGGATTTCTATGCTCAACACATCAGCTGTATGTGACCAGGCGAAAAAACCTATTCAAGCCAAACTATATTATAACTGCTACATATAGCCTACATCGTTGTCACTGTATTAGCTAAAGTAACTTCATAGTCAACATAGCTAATATAACTAACGCGTTAGTAAACCCACTACAATCATGCAGTAAAGTTACAGTGTACAGTCAGTAAGCAGTTACACCGGCGGGCCCCGGTGGCAATAAATTAGTAAAACCAAAAGCTTACCTTAACTTGGAAGAGTTCCAGCATTGTGTTGGATAGTCATCGCCAGCTAGCTAAACATACCATCCCTCTGTTTGAGCAGGGTGTTTGAGTAGGCTAAACTAGCTAGCTGCATTTGCTAGCTAAGTAAGTGAAAAAATTAAATAATGAAATCTCTCTTTTGCTTCTTCTTCATTTTGGAAGAAATGAATTTGTTCAAAAATGTTCAACAATTGTCTTCTTTCTCTCTTTGAGTCAACTACTCACCACATTTTATGCACTGCAGTGCTAGCTAGCTGTAGCTTATGCTTTCAGTACTATATTCATTCTCTGATCCTTTGATTGGGTGGACAACATGTCAGTTCATGCTGCAAGACCTCTGATAGGTTGGAGGACGTCCTCTGGAAGTTGTCATAATTACTGTGTAAGTCTATGGAAGGGGGTGAGAACCATGAGCCTCCTAGGTTTTGTATTGAAGTCAATGTACCCAGAGGAGGACGGAAGCTAGCTGTCCTCCGGCTACACCATGGTGCTGCCCTACCTTTATTGCAAAATAGCATGTTTGAATCAATTATTTGGTGACGTGATTATATTTAGTATAGTTTTATCTAAAAAGGATAACTTTTTAAATGTTTAAAAAATAAAAAATAAAAATATTTTTTTATGAAATTCACTGAGGAGGATGGTCCTCCCCTTCCTCCTCTGAGGAGCCTCCACTGCTGGTGACTGAGACACACACACTTTAAACCCCCTATGCTCCTTTGAGACCACTCTTTCAAAGTCACTGAGATCTCTTCTTCTAGGCATTGTAGCTAAAATAATGGGTAACTGGGCATTTTTATGCATGACCCTAAGCATGATGGGATGACAATTGCTTAAGTAACTCAGGAACAACACCTGTGTGGATGCACCTACTTTCAATATACTTTGCATCAGTGGTGTAAAGTACTTAAGTAAAAATACTTTAAAGTACTACTTAAGTAGTTTTCGGGGGTATCTGTACTTTACTTTACTATTTCCATTTTTGACAACTTTTACTTTTACTTCACTATATTCCTAAATAAAATAATGTACTTTTTACTCGATACATTTCCCTGACACCCAAAAGTACTCGTTACATTCGGAATGCTTAGCAGGACAGAAAATGGTCCAATTCACACACTTATCAAGAGAACAACCCTCGTCATCCCTACTGCACAAATGCTTCATTTGTAAATGATTACTGAGTGTTGGAGTGTGCCCCTGGCTATAATATATTTGTATTTTTAAGACAATTGTGCCATCTGGTTTGCTAAATATAAGGAATGTTTTATTATTCATACTTTTACTTTTACTTTTGATACTTAAGTATATTTTAGCAATTCCATGTACTTTTGATACTTAGGTATATTTAAAACCAAGGACTTTTAGACCATTACTCAAGTAGTATTTTACTGGGTGACTGTCACTTTTACTTGAGTCATTTTCTATTAATGTATTTTTACTTTTACTCAAGTATTAAATCAGGAGTTTGGAATCTAGGACCTGCCTGCGAAATAATAATTTTCTTTAAAGCTGCAATATGTTACTTTTGGGGCGACCCAACCAAATTCACATAGAAAATGTGTGTTATAGATCTGTCATTCTCATTGGAAGCAAGTCTAAGAAGCAGTAGATCTGTTCTATGTGCGCTATTTCTATGCTTCCCGTTCTTAAGTTTCGTTTTCGCGTCTTTTACTTTCAGTTTTGTGCACCAACTTCAAACAGCTGAAAATACAATATTTTGGGTTATTGAAAATATATTTCACAGCGGTTTGGATGGTACAATGATTCTCTACACTGCTTGTTTTGTCACATAAACTGAAATTAGGTGAACTATTCAAATGTTATTGCACCTTTAAATAAGGGATTGAGCATGCTTTTGGAATAATTATTCTTTTCAGATTAGTCTGCAGTCACTGTTGACAATTTAGCGACTTTGTCCGATATTTAGCAAGTTTTCAGACCCCTCCAGGGACATTTATTAGTAAAAGAGTCTAGCGACAAATACAACTACTTTTCAGGCTGCCTTTGGGGAGTTTTGACACAGAGGGTTTCTATGGTTTTGATAGCATTTAGCGACTTTTCCCACTCAACTCTGATGCAAACAAGAGTGGGAGAAGCTGTCTGAGCAACAGAAATCACAGCAACAGCACACACACAGGCAGACAAGCACAAGGGAAGGGGGTGTTCGGTGTCATGTAAAAATCTTCCCAGCGTGAAATAGTTCCCAATCGTTCTGATTGTGTTCTGATTGTGACGTCATGCTGTAAAATCAACACGTCATCTACCAACTTCTAGTGACAAATCAAGGAGCCAATAGCGGATTTCACTGAAAATAGTTGGCAACAATGTCTGCAGTGTGTGTGATAAATGGTTCAATAGGGCATTGATGGAGCGTGTGCCTGAGAAAAATAGGAATCACTGCTAATTACATTAATGAAATGAATGGAACTAATAGGCCTTCCTTAGGGAGATGGGCGTGGATTCAAAACACCAATTACGATGAATACTGTATTTTTATTTTCAAAGAACATCAAGAAACTGGAATGAGCCAAGTTAAAAAGTGGTGCATAGCTTTGTTTAGCTATTATTAACCCATTTTAAACCAAGCACTCGTATTTGAAAGCTTTATGGAAATAGAGCTGTTTATAAAAGGATTGCATCACTAAAACGCACAAGCAAAAACACGAATACAGCACATGCTGATAAACCAGCACAAACTGCCTAGTTATAAATGAGTGATTAACCATTAGCATTGGCACAGCAGTAATAGAGCCTGTAGAGCATCTCAGCTACATGACACCCGGATGGGTGGTGCAGGGCTTTGTTAGGAAGGATTAACACTTTAATCTCTCTCACCTAATGTTTTAATACAATTGTTACCATCTGCTCACAGCGCAAAGCCTGTTTAATAAAGGCTTGTTACAGCCAACTAAAAGATTAGCATGTGTCAATGGCCATTTGTGCATGTAGCTTCTCTTGGATGTCCACCAAGCAGACTATACAGTCCCAGCCTGTACATATGGAATAAAACAGAGAAATCTCATTTAGCCACAGGAGTGGTTTTATTGAGCTTATAGATACAATAATTGCCATTGAATTTGATGGTAGGTTTACATGCTTCTGTGGAGATGGTGGATTAATGCAATTGGTGTTTTAGATTCAAGCTTCAGTAATTAAAGAGGATGAGCCCATACTTCTATAACCAGTAATTACTCTGTTCCTGGTACTGCAGGAAGTTTGGATGGCTGCCATGTTTCCTATTCCTGCTGTGGATGGCTCTTTGTTTCTATAATGGAGGCAATGTCTAATGAATGTGTGTCTGAACAGCCATTTTACCCCTGATGTATGTTTTGGCTAAACATCCACTTGCAAATGTATATTTCACATAGTGAATAATTCAACGTTCCAATGATGCACACTCATCTTCTATCATATACTCGTCACACTGTAATCTAAGTGACTCTGTCCCAAATGGCTCGCCTATTCGCTACATAGTGCACTACTTTTGACCTGAGCCCTGCTCAAAAGTAGTGCACTTTATTGGGAATAGAGTGCCATTTGGGAGGCATACATGGTGGCAAAAGCTTCTAAACTGGATGAAAACTATTCCATAAAAAATGACCCCATCTGAATGTTACAAATGTATGTGTATGTTTTACAGGGACCTATGTGATGCAGGTGACAGCCACAGATGCAGATGACCCTACCTATGGAAACAGTGCCAGAGTGGTCTATAGCATCCTCCATGGCCAGCCATACTTCTCTGTTGATCCCAAGACAGGTAAATAAGATGGGCAACATCAGTCAGAAATGGGTCTAATTTGGTACTCTTTGTTGTGACTGTTTACATAATTGTATATGCCATTTAACAGACACTTTTATCCAAAGCGACTTACAGTTTTTATGTACGTGGTCCTGGGAAGCACCATGCTCTACCAACTGAGCCACAGAGGACCCATATGTTGGTCGATGTTGAATGCTGTTTTGTTTGGGATTGTGTTAACTATTATCCAGCTTTCTTTGAAATGACAAAAAGGCAGGGTAACTATCTGTCAAATAGAAGAAGAAAAAATATAGCTTACCTCTCCAAAAAAGAATGAGTTTCCAAATGCCAAGTTTTGTAGCTGTATTAATCTAATATGTGGGCATATATTCTAACTCTGCACATTAGTATTGACAAAGTGTTGTCTTTAATTTAATTATAGATTATCGATCCGATTAAACAAATGAGTGAGATAACTTGATTTGATTACATTGTTGCTGGCCAGGGCAATGGATTAGAAACAGTGACAAGTTATAGCTTCCATTCCTTTATGGTGGACAGAGAAATTGATCTCTATCACTAACCACATTTCCATCCACAGTTTTTAAAGTCATACTGTATAGAAAAAATAAAAAAAACATGACAGCTGTGATGGAAACAGGACATTTTGGTGCAACTTTATTAATGCTGACAGTTAATTTGTTCGTTCGACATGGTGTGATCTTTTTGTGTCTATACAATTAATTATGTGAGAATTGCTGGTGGACACACCTTTATGCTCCATTATTTATATAATAACCATCATATCGAAGTAAACTTGGAGTCAAGCGATGAATGGTTTGTGGTCCTCCCACTACGAATCAATGCAGTTTATTAGGCTACAGATGAAATAGGTTATGAAAAACTTCACAGGGTGGTGAAAGTGCACGGTGATCTTGATGTTCCTTTCCAATAAATATTGATGGTCTTATTCTGGTGACATGATGATCAAATCAAATCAAATGTTATTTGTCACATGCGCCGAATACAACAGGTGTAGACCTTACCGTGAAATGCTTACTTACAAGCTCTTAACCAACAGTGCAGTTAAATAAACAGAATTCAGAAAATATTTGCTAAATTAAAAAAAGTAAAAAATGTTTGTAAAATAATTACACAATGTATGATGTTTCGTCTGAGGGCATAGCGGGATTTCTTATAAGTGTCCGGATTAGTGTCCCACTCCTTGAAAGCGGCAGCTCTAGGCTTTAGCTCGGTGCGGATGTTGCCTGTAATCCATGGCTTCTGGTTGGGATATGTACGTACGGTCACTGTGGGGACGACGTCGTCGATGCACTTATTGATGAAGCCGGGGAATGTTTTTTATTTTATTTCACCTTTATTTAACCAGGTAAACCAGTTGAGAACAAGTTCTCATTTACAACTGCGACCTGGCCAAGATAAAGCAAAGCAGTGCGATAAAAACAACAACACAGAGTTACATATGGGGTAAAACAAAACAAAGTAAAAAAGACAACAGAAATACATTTAATATATAGTGTGTGCAAATTTAGCAAGTTATGGAGGTAAGGCAATAAAATAGGCTATAGTGCAAAATAATTACAATTAGTATTAACACTGGAATGATAGATGTGCAAGAGATGATGTGCAAATAGAGATACTGGGGTACAAATGAGCAAAATAAATAACAATATAGGGATGAGGTAGTTGGGCGGGCTAATTTTAGATGGGCTGTGTACAGGTGCAGTGATCGGTAAGGTGCTCTGACAACTGATGCTTAAAGTTAGTGAGGGAGATAAGTGTCTCCAGCTTCAGAGATTTTTGCAATTTGTTCCAGTCATTGGCAGCAGAGAACTGGAAGGAATTGCGGCCAAAGGAGGTGTTGGCTTTGGGGATGACCAGTGAGATATACCCGCTGGAGCGCAGACTACGGGTGGGTGTTGCTATGGTGACCAATGAGCTAAGATAAGGCGGGGATTTGCCTAGCAGTGATTTATAGATGGCCTGGAGCCAGTGGGTTTGGCGACGAATATGTAGTGAGGACCAGCCAACAAGAGCGTACAGGTCACAGTGGTGGGTATTATATGGGGCTTTGGAGACAAAACGGATGGCACTGTGATAGACTACATCCAATTTGCTGAGTAGAGTGTTGGAGGCTATTTTGTAAATGACATCGCCGTAGTCAAGGATCGGTAGGATAGTCAGTTTTACGAGGGCATGTTTGGCAGCATGAGTGAAGGAGGCTTTGTTGCGAAATAGGAAACCGATTCTAGATTTAACTTTGGATTGGAGATGCTTAATGTGAGTCTGGAAGGAGAGTTTACAGTCTAACCAGACACCTAGATATTTGTAGTTGTCCACATACTCTAGGTCAGACCCGTCGAGAGTAGTGATTCTAGTCGGGTGGGCGGGTGCAAGCAGCGTTCGGTTGAAGAGCATGCATTTAGTTTTACTAGTGTTTAAGAGCAGTTGGAGGCTACTGAAGGAGTGTTGTATGGAATTGAAGCTTGTTTGGAGGTTTGTTAACACAGTGTCCAATGAAGGGCCAGATGTATACAAAATGGTGTCGTCTGCGTAGAGGTGGATCTGAGAGTCACCAGCAGCAAGAGCGACGTCATTGATATACACAGAGAAAAGAGTCGGCCCAAGAATTGAACCCTGTGGCACCCCCATAGAGACTGCCATAGGTCCAGACAACAGGCCCTCCGATTTGACACATTGAACTCTATCTGAGAAGTAGTTGGTGAACCAGGCGAGGCAGTCATTTGAGAAACCAAGGCTATTTAGTCTGCCAATAAGAATGCGGTGGTTGACAGAGTCGAAAGCCTTGGCCAGGTCAATGAAAACGGCTGCACAGTACTGTCTATTATCGATCGCGGTTATAATATCGTTTAGGACGTTGAGCGTGGCTGAAGTGCACCCATGACCAGCTCGGAAACCGGATTGCATAGCGGAGAAGGTACGGTGGGATTCGAAATGGTCGGTGATCTGTTTGTTGACTTGGCTTTCAAAAACGTTTGAAAGGCAGGGCAGGATGGATATGGGTCTGTAACAGTTTGGATCTAGAGTGTCACCCCCTTTGAAGAGGGGGATGACCGCGGCAGCTTTCCAATCTCTGGGGATCTCAGACGTTACGAAAGAGAGGTTGAACAGGCTAGTAATACGGGTTGTGACAATTTTGGCGGCTAGTTTTAGAAAGAAAGGGTCCAGATTGTCTAGCGCAGATGATTTGTAGGGGTCCAGATTTTGCAGCTCTTTTAGAACATCAGCTGTCTGGATTTGTGTGAAGGAGAAGCGGGGGGGGGGGGGGGGGGGGGGGGGGGGGGGGGGGGGGGGCATGGGCAAGTTGCAGCGGAGGGTGCAGAGCTGGTGGCCGGGGTAGTGGTAGCCAGGTGGAAAGCATGGCCAGCCGTAGCAAAATGCTTGTTGAAATTCTCGATTATTGTAGATTTATCGGTGGTGATAGTGTTTCCTAGCCTCAGTGCAGTGGGCAGCTGGGAGGAAGTGCTCTTATTTTCCATGGACTTTACAGTGTCCCAAAACTTTTTGGAGTTAGTGCTACAGGATGCAAATTTCTGTTTGAAAAAGTTAGCCTTTGCTTTCCTAACTGCTTGTGTATATTGGTTCCTAACTTCCCTGAAAAGTTGCATATCACGTGGGCTATTTGATGCTAATGCAGTACGCCACAGGATGTTTTTGTGCTGGTCAAGGGCAGTCAAGTCTGAGGAGAACCAGGGGCTATATCTGTTCTTAGTTCTGTATTTTTTGAATGGGGCATGTCTATTTAAGATTGAGAGGAAATTACTTTTAAAGAACAACCAGGCATCCTCTACTGACGGAATGAGATCTATATCCATCCAGGATACCTGGGCCAGGTCAATTAGGAAGGCCTGCTCGCTGAAGTGTTTTTGGGAGCGTTTGACAGTGATGAGGGGTGGTCGTTTGACCGCGGACCCGTTACGGACGCAGGCAATAAGGCAGTGATCGCTGAGATCCTGGTTGAAGACAGCGGAGGTGTATTTAGAGGGTAAGTTAGTCAGGATGATATCTATGAGGGTACCCATGTTTACGGATTTAGGGTTGTACCTGGTAGGTTCGTTGATAATTTGTGTGAGATTGAGGGCATCTAGTTTAGATTGTAGGATGGCCGGGGTGTTAAGCATATCCCAATTTAGGTCACCAAGCAGTACGAACTCTGAGGATAGATGGGGGGCAATCAATTCACATATGGTGTCCAGGGCACAGCTGGGGGCTGAGGGGGGTCTGTAGCAAGCGGCAACAGTGAGAGATTTATATCTGGAAAGGTGGATTTTTAGAAGTAGAAGCTCAAACTGTTTGGGCACAGACCTGGATAGTATGATGGAGCTCTGCAGGCTATATCTACAGTAGATTGCAACTCCACCCCCTTTGGCAGTTCTATCTAGACGGAAAATGTTATAGTTGGGGATGGAAATTTCAAAATTTTTGGTGGCCTTCCTAAGCCAGGATTCAGACACTGCTAGAACATCAGGGTTGGCGGAGTGTGCTAACGCAGTGAATAACTCAAACTTAGGAAGGAGGCTTCTGATATTTATGTGCAGAAAACCAAGACTTTTACGGTTACAGAAGTCAACAAATGATAGCTCCTGGGGAGTAGGAGTGATACTGGGGGCTGCAGGGCCTGGGTTAGCCTCTACATCACCAGAGGAACAGAGGAGGACTAGAATAAGGATACGACTAAAGGCTTTAAGAACTGGTCTTCTAGTGCGTTGGGTACATAGAATAAACGGGGCAGTTCTCCGGGCGTTCTAGAAAAGATTCAGGGCATTATGTACAGAAAAGGATATGGAAGGATATGAGTACAGTTCAGGTAACCCTAAGCGTTGGGTAACAATGAAAGAGATAGCGTCATTGGAGGCACCGATTGAGCCGGTCTCTGCGTATATGGGGGGTGGAACAAAGGAACTATATGAGGCAGTTTGAGAGGGACTAGGGGTTTTACAGTGAAATTGTATAATAAGAA